CAGCTAAAGAGATCAGTCATTTATCTTTTTTAAATCAAAACCAGCCCATTAATATACTCAGTCAAAGATATTCGGGAGAAGAGGAAGGTTCAAACTAATATCTTTAGTTCCGCTTAATAGAATGCCTGAAACCAAAGTCTTCTGAAACACAAATGCTTCCTATTTCAAATACAAGTAGTGGGAGCACTGCCCTGCTGCTAGAAAAGAAAAGAAAGATTCTTGAGTCTTTCCACTCAAGAATCCCAGAAGACTCCAAATTTCCCCCTTTTCTAGGAAAAATGATTTATATGAATGCTGTTTCCCAACATACAGTCTAAAAAGCCTCCAGCTCCTGTGCAAGGACATCCCAAGAACTTAAACACCAGAAAGCTGGGAAGCCATCCAAAACCTTAAAGAGCAGTGGATCATGGTTCCCACACCAAAGCTGTTGCATATGGAGTCTGTGGTGTCTCCACATTCTTCCTGAAGGCTGTTCTCATGCAGATCTCGCAGAGGGTGAAGAAACCTGTCTCTCCCAGCCTGGGCCATGGAGAACGTTAGCAGAGCAGGGAGGAGCTCCCACATGGAAGAGACTGTGCYGGTGGAGGGCTGCACTCATCTGCTCCAGGCCTTTTTGTGGGCAAAGGGGACACAGTCATTCAGGGAGAGAACTTGGTTTTGAACTTCTCGTGATTCATTTCTCAGTATGGTCCTCCTAGATCATTACAGGCAAAATTTAACACCCCCATCCAAACTCTCACACGTGCAAGCTGCAGGGGCACTGCAGCCTGGCTGAGGGCCACGTTGTTGCTGGTACTCTTCTTTCTTCCTGGTCTGGAGAGTGTTTACCTGGATCTGATCTGATCTCCCTTGTCATGAAGACTGATGCTAAAACAAGGGAGGCGGCAGGAACGAACAACAGGGCACTAGACAGTGGATGAGACTTCCCTTTTGCTAACAGCACACACTTATTTGGGGATGAAATGACCACCTTCTCCACATGCTTTCACAAATTCCTGGTTAACATCTTGTTCTAAACTGCATATTGCATTGCTTGCTGAAACTCCTCTAGTTTTACTGTATCTTAGAAATTTCACCTCTGTAGCTTTGAACGGTGTTTGAATCCATCTACCCGAGCAAAGGCCATTCCCCCATGTTCAGCACACGCTGGCTACTCATCAGTCCATGATCTGAAGACACCTGGATGGATTCATTCCATGTATTCATTTTGTTGCTGCAACAGGTGAACGTTCAGTTTTCATCAAGGTACCAGAAGGAGGGAGGGAGTTTTATACTGTGGCCCTTTTATTCCTTTTTCAGAGCAACGTGGATTTTTAAGAAAGAGCAGACTCCAAAGGAGAGATGTGCTAAGACGGGAAACTCAGGATTCAAAAGCAAATAAATGTTAATATTCAGGTGTGCTTGGTTCTAATACTTGCATTAATGCACTTAAATAGAATACTACTGAATTCCCATTTCCCAAATTCCTGTTTGTCTTTTCTGCTACTGCCATTTGTGCCCGGATTTAACAGCACATTTAAATCTCACGGATTGTTTTTCCGACGTGGGGAGGGAACAAATGCCRCACGCAGCACGTGGGGCAGCGCTGCCTCACGGCTCCCCCTCATGCCTCTCCCACACAGATCCACCCGGGAGCTGCTGCCCACGCACGGACACGGCGCTGGCAGCCTGCGCCGCGCACGGGGACGGTTAACAGGGGGTGCAACTCACAGCTCCTTCTGAAAACACATTTCAGAACTGGGATTATATTAAGCCTGGACTTACCCAAGCGGTCTGGCTGGGGTGAGGTCCTGCACAGCAGAGTTTTTGCCTTGCTGATGCACTGAGAGCAGCAGCTTTCGCCCTGCCGGCGCTTGCTGCTCCCATGCAGCAGCAGCTGCTGCAGCCCGGCCGGGCAGGCTGCCACGAGGGGCACATGAGAACCCCACCTACGGCTGCACCCTCCTGGTGCTGAGCACCTAAACAAGATGACACCAGGAACCCATGAAAAGAAAAGGAAAAAAGGGAATGGGTAGACGTTCAATTTGTAACCCSTTCAGGAGAGTTATTCGTGCATAACACCTCAGTGATTGCAGACAGCAATGAGACACCTGCCCACTTTCCTCTGCAGACAGTTCCTTGCAGAGTTGGCTGCTTTTAGCCAAGGACCTTCCCTGTTTCTGAGCTGAAGATGCTGCCCAGGCCACGTTTGAGTTATTCCAGCGCGACCCAGCGGGCAGCAGACGCAGGGCCGTGTAACTGGCCAAGGAAGCAGGAGACCCGGAGCCCCAGAGCTGTGTGAGCTGAGCTTAGCCTGCGATTCCAGGGGATACCCTGCAATAAAGGACAACTCATCCAGCTACAGCCAAGTGCATTTTCTCACGTGCAAATACATTCTGTCTCCTTAAGCTGCACGTTGTTTTACGAACACGAGCTGGCAAAGGGCCTTTTGCTTTAATTATTCCATGTTTCTTCACTCTTGGTCAAATGGTGGGAGAATTTTTTTGGAGAGGGMTGGAGGAGGGGGGTGCCTCTAATGTAAAAGTGCCAAGAAAAACTTGCCTTTGGTCCTAAAATGGCAGCTGTAGCCCTGCAGAAACAGCGCCGGCGGCCCCGGCTCGGAGGTGACAGCAGGCCCCCGACATCAAAGCCAACATGAGGTTTTTAGCGAGGGCTGTTTGTTGATTTTTTCTCCAGTGAAGTGATATTACATGGCATTTCCAACCTTCAATCCTATTAAGTGACAGAACTACCTAATAGCACTCATTAAATAACATAACTTGGTGTCAGGAGTTCAGTGACAGGCTCACGCCGATGAAGGGCTAGATTTATGCCCTAAAACAATGTGGTTTTGGTGTTTTTTTTTTTTAATAAATGTCATTTATTTTGACAGGTGGAAGCCTAAGGCCCAGGATAGTTCACGGAAAGGTTATCACCTATCAGAACATAACTAAGCAGAAAAGCAGAGGCTCTTAAATTTTACATTTAGAAAGAATAAAGCATTTAAAGCATTTTCACTCCTTTGTTTCTGAACTCCCTCATATTTTTGAGATCTTTTCTCATGGGACATGGCTGTGTTGCAATAGGGCAGTCATATGTTGCAACAGTATTGAGGAACCTTCCTCCTTTCCATCCAAGGAGGTACCCAGAACTGCGCAAAAACCGAGATAGTCATGACCATTTTTTTCGATTATTCATTGCTCACGGGCCTGCAGCAAACACAGATAATTAAAACAACATTAAGGTTTCTAATCGCACCTTTTTCCCTTGCTGTCAGTCAGATATTAATTATTATTTCCACATTTCACCCCAAGTCTTTCCTACATGCAGTAAAWGACAGTTTGCAGCACTAGATTTCTCACTTCTTTCTTACTAGAGCTCCAGACACTCAAGCAGTAAGTGCAGCCTGTCCAGGGTGGGCATTCGGCAGCTCCCTGCAATTCGAAGCAAATGCAGCCACGTGCACCATCCTGGTGTCACAGGCAGATCCGAGACTCTCCCACAGAGTTTGGACCAGTTTTCTGCAGTCACAAACAGCACAGCCTCCATCAGCAGCCCTCCATGGATAACCTATTTCTTCTAGGTGGCATTCACAGGATCCCCATTTTCAGAAGCCTTCCCTACCTGTTACCTTTCGCTCCTCGCCCATGTGGCTTGGGCCAGGTTTAACTGCAGTGCTGGCGCCAGGCCTGGGGCTGCTGTGGGTGTCTCTCCTAGCACCTCACAGTTCTTCATCCCGCTTCCCAGGAAGCTCAGCAAGTCAGCGCAGGCTGCTATGTCTGTTCCCTCCATAAAACCTTATCCACAAACACTAAAACCTTTCCTACTCAATGTGCTTGCTGCTCTTGAAGGGCTGGAATAACACGGCACAAAAGCTCCACCATGTTGCAGTTGGATTTCAGTAAGAAAGTTTATTTCTTGTGCTTTTTATTACCTTGTTGCCACTTCCTAATCATAAGCTGGAAATGTTAAATTATAAAAAAATGCAGCATTAACCAGCCAATTGAGTTGCTAGTTCTAATTTTGGACAGAAAAGTGGACAAAGAAATAATCAAAGRCTTACCCAAAAAGCAGATGGCTGCAGAGCGCTTCTGGCAGTCCCRCCACTCACACATGGGACCACTCAAATTTAACAAATCAGATGAGAGCGAGCACTGAAATGGAARTTGGGGCTCTGCTCCACACAAATTCTTCAAAATGTTTGTTTTGGATTGGTACCCCTACTGCAATTACAACTCTGGACTAGATATAGCAAGAGTCATATTAGAAGAAAAGAATACTAGGAGAAAACCAGAATGATTAAACTATTTGCCAGATCACATAGATTGYCTTCTTGTACGCAAATTATGCCCAAGTCTAAATGATTTCCTAAGCCAAAGCTGGTACTAAAGGAACCTTTTAGTAACACAGCAACCACATTCCGCAGCAGTTAGAGCACAAGAAACTTCCCAGGCTCAAACTGCAAAACTTCAAACAAGGGCACACGTCTGCAAATAAACAGACACAAGTCCCATCCGTATGCAGAAGAAACACAGGGTAACTCAAGATTTCATGCTCATCTCCATGCAGCTCAGCCAGGACACCGGTACCTCCCGCTGCAGGCAGGAGCAATGTCCTGAAAACCACTCGGTGCTGGCGAGCCAAAGGGYGGCCGCTTGCTGCTGTTGGAGACTGTACGACGTAGTGCAAGTGTTCCTGCCCCACCAGGGAGGGCAAATTGTGAGGGCAACACTAGTAACGTTACTGCAAAGAAACACAGAGAGTAGGGGACCCATAAAAAAAGGAATTTCAAACCCACTCCTTCCACCAGCCTTGCTGTAAGAAGTTACCTAAACGTTTAACAGGAAAACATGAAGCCCTTTGTAGCTGAGACGCCAATTGCAGCTTAATGTAAATGTATATCCAACGATGACATCACCTACCACAGCCAAAAATTAAGACGAAAGTTCTGCTAGTCTCAGTGACTAGTCACTCACCAGGGAACCAGTGGTTTTATGGGCACGCCTTCCTGAAGAATCCAAAAATAACATTTTTCCATGCAGCAGAAATTTCTGTAGCATTCACGCTTTTCAATTCAGTAATGCTGCAGTCCACAGTGCCAGCCTCCTGTAATGAGGTAATGTGACAACGTAATTTGTAGCATTTTATTCTGTCAAAATTGATCTTAGTATTGCCTTAGCAACTAGATCAAAACAAAAGATGGGTCAGAGAGACTAAGTTTCTCCCTGACACCACCCAGATTTTTATATAAATATAGATGTATATATATACTCTCTATATAAAACACTATAAAGGTCATGATTCACCATTAAAAACTGCAAGAAAAAAACAGCATGGGAGAAGGAGCAGCATGGTMGTGTGAAATTTTAAATACGAAATGCTAGCAAATTTGTAAAGTGACAACAAAAGAAATTCATAAATTCAGCGTTCAGTTACCAAGCACCCTTGCATATGTGTGTCCCGGTTAAACATAGCCAGGAAAAGGTATTAGCCATTTCTGACTGACGAGATGTCAGTGAATGCAGGCTCTGACTGCTGCACAAAGTGAAGAATATTCCTCCCTTTCCTCATCGCTTGGAGAACAGAACTTTTTAACTATTACTGCTTAGCAGGTTTATTAAGAAACATTTACCTAAGCATGGGTTTGGATGTGTTGTATGTCCTGTTCTTGCAAATATCCATCAATGTATTTTAGTACCTTTGTGGGGAGATGAGCTGAGCCTGAATATCATGAGTACTAAACATTAAAACCTGGATTTGGACCCTAAGGCAATTTCATATGTTTCAGGAAAAAAAACCATATTTTTTCTGCAGGCTGCACAGTGTCATTTACAKTCCCTAAAATAAAACGGTTTTAGGCAGATTCCTAAAAAGCTTGGGAGGGAATTGCCAGGGGCAGCGTGCCGGTGGGGAGCAGGGAGCTGGATTCACCTTGGTTGCTGCAGGCCCAGCCGTGTCATCGCTGCTCTCTGCGGAGGTCCCAGGTAGCTGCTCCCAAAGCGGCTGCATCAGCAGCCAGGAGTGATCCTGGCTGGAAAGCAGCTCGGCTTTGAGGTCTACAGCAGGATATATCATCACATCCCAGGCTTCTTGATAGCAGAGGATGTTTCACCAGCAGGTCAGGAGGTTGGTATGTCCGACAGAAATTTCTTAATGCACTACTAATCCTAAAAAAAAAGAAAAATTGAAAAAAATGAATGCTTACTTTGAGGTGTATGAATGTCTCCAAGGATTATTTGTCCTCCTAAAATTAAGTAGGYTTGAGTCCTTCACCTGAGCAATGGCCTCGGGCCCTGGCCCAGCTCGGGGGCGACCCCCCTGGGCAGGGACAGGGAGGAATTCGGTCCTGGCAGGAGCAGAGCTATCCACACAGGGAACCCACAGCTCCTTCCGCAGTAACTCCGGGCCTTACATGGCTGGGGAAGATGGGCATTTGTTCCCAAGCTTATCTGACAGCGGACATGGACTTGGCACGACTTCAGCTGAATACACTCACAAAAATGTATTCAACAAGCTGTGGCTTTTTTAAACCAGAAAGCACTGATCTGCTGCTACAGCAGGGGAAGAAAAAGACTTATTTTTAGGCAAGAGTCTTTGAGAAATAGGAAAATAAATTTAACTGCACTTTTCTTCCTAATTATCGCCGCTTTCTGACTGTCACAGGAGATGTACCTCTTCCACGTGAAATCCCTCATTACTCCTCCTGTCCAATAAAGGCAATTAACAGTGAACTTAAAAGTTCCTGTCTGTATCCCATTTCCAGCTTTATCACTTTGTGCTTTCAAATGGTACCTTGTACAAGAGAAACTGAAGGAAACGGGAAATTAAACAARAAAATTAAAAAATTAAAATAGTATTTATGTCTCCCAAATGGGAAGTGTGGAGCAACAAGGGCAGGAAAGGGACCAGTGCTTAAGCTGATTACCCCTGCAAGGTCCTCTGCCTTTCAGCAGTGCCCCGGTCCCTCAGTAAAACCATTTAAATTAATTAGAGGCCGGCGGAAGGAGAGGAGGGGGCGGGAGGGAAGATGTCAGGTTTTATCGGGAGGGTTAGTGCCGGCTGGCTGGAGAGGGGCTCCCAGGCCCCGCTAATTGGGCCCGCCGGCCCCAGCGCCACAAGCTTGGACGTGACATGTTGTGGAGCGYGGGGCGCAGGTGGCCCCGCGGCCCCCGCGCCTGTCGCCTCCGCTCAGCGCCCGCCACAGCGCGCCCGCCCGGCCCCGCAGCCAGGGTCTGCACGCTCCGCGCCAGGAATTTGCACAAATAAGAATCTTCTGGGCCGTGCTGGCCTTGCCGACATGGATCTTATTATGCTTTTTACCTAATTATCCACTTGGCTTTTTCTTTACGCAGCTGAGAAAGGAAAGGAGCGTTTAACTGCAAGTTTACTGAGTGCAACGCGAGCGGAGTTTCTTTGGGCACTACTTATATGTATGTTTGCATATACATACACACAGACACACATATATGAATTGCATCTCACTCGCACTTGCACATAACTATCTAGACAAATAATATCATCACGTTGGGAAGGACCAGATTAGAAGGCAACCACTGCAACATTTAGATTTAATCTGGTGAGCATTAGATCATGATTCACTTTGACATAAAAGCTCCAGAGCACATTTAGCTGGGCCGAAATGCTTTACAGTGCTTTAAACAGGAAGGAAATAAGTCTAATGTTTCGCGTGCCACATTATTTGCTGTTGAAATCCTAATAATTGCCTTTTCTCTATGCTTACCTTGTAGCTAATGAATCGGTTTTAAACTTTCAAGTAGCTTCAGTAACAAGGGGAAAGATCTTATCTGCTCCTGACTCCCCCAAAAACAGGATTTCATTTAAGAGAAACGAAAATTGACAAGAAAAAAATTGCTTCAAAGCTAAACAGCACATTGCGTGTATCTCACCGTACTTCACTGCAGTGTTTGTAAAATGCATCAATTTTTTTTATCACATAAAAAACATAACATGTTTTGAAAAAAACAATGGAAACCCAATCACTTTTCCAAGGCTTGGTGCAAGAGCCACACGCTGCACATGCACCGGTCGCCAAATCTTGCTCCCATGCACACGACGGCCACAGCTCTGCACTTCGCATCTCCTGCCAGCTTGCAGGAGGGAGGGCAAGGGGGGATCTACCCCTAGAGCCCACGCAGCCCTAGGCTGGACAGGGAGGTAGGAAACGACACTGCTCTTGATTTGCATGGGTTGTAATAATTAGCTTAGCTGGGAATAACAGGGCTCTAATTCACAAGGTGCTCCAGTTAACTCACGGGCCAGGTGGAGCTTGTAGCCCAAGCCCCCATCCCACCTGTGATGTTTCCTCACTGCTACAACGAGCAGTGGTTGACCCGTCAGGGTTCTACACGTGGCTTAACCCAACCTTCTGCTGTGCTCCTGCCTGTATCCACGCACAGCTCCTGCTTCCCTCCCAGCACTGCCTGCTTTCAGGCAGCCACGGGAAAAACCAACCCCTGTGGCCTCCTCCCCACTCGCTCTCAGGTCACAGAGCCCTGGGTCCCTCCTGGTGGCAGTTTAGGCTGGCCTAAGTGCAGGCCAGCAACCAGAGACTGCTGATTCCAGACAGGCTTTTTGTGTGATACATAACCATGTTCAGCTGTGTTTCCCAGTGACACCTCTCTACGCCCCAGGCTCTCTCAATGGGACACAACACTCCTCACCTCTGTGCAACTCCGAGGAGGAGGTTGGAAAGGTCTTTAGCTGCAATCCAGGTCCTTCCAAAGAGGCTGACTTTCTGCTAACGTGCTTGTGTCCTCCTCAGTCAGAGGCGAAACTCCAAGCTCTGTGTTTCTATTGCAAACTGTGTTTTTACTTCTGGTTTGTATTCATCTAAACACATTTCCCTCATGCAACAACTGGAACGTGCGTATCTAGAACGAAAGCAGATTACACAAAACAAGCTGTTAACTCTTTCTCGTCGTGCAGATATGATGCCAGTTCCCAGAAGTTGCTGCTATTGAATAAGTATGTTTTTGTTACACAGTGAAATGAGTGTTCCAGAACTCTGTAAATATCTGTAATTTCAAGACAGATAAATGTTATGTAAGCTTAAATTTTGCAGTTTTATTACTGTGTGCTGTTTCATTCCAAGTTGCTCTGCACGTAGAAAGCAAACATCATTGAATTTATTTTAAAAAGGCAAAATAAAGTTTACAATTCTGCTTGACCTAACATTTGTTTATAAACACAGGAGCAGACTGGCCTTATTACACTGGAAATGACAAAAAAAAATCTCTCTGCAAGTTGAACGGGAGCCAATAGAGCGCTCTGGCTGCAAATAAGGCCAAGGACACAGCAGGCTACCTCAGGAAAAGCACTGGCCTGCAGGTGAAGGAATGTGCTTCCCCTTCTCTCCTTGATCCTGGTGAGGCCACTCCTGGGATACTGCATCCCGTCTGGTGTCTCCCAGACCATGAGGGATGCTGAGAAAATACAGAGTCCAGCAAAGAACTACCAAGACAGCCACAATTAGCCCCAAATAGCTGACGGGGAGGGAGGCTCATGGCAGAGGCAACCTTCTTATCAGGGATAGAAGGGGGGATACTACCAGAAACTGCATCTGGAGAGGTTCAGACTGGGGAGCAGGAATAATCTTTTCAGAAGGGTGATGTGGTCCTAGACGGGGTCACCACAGTGGCAGGAGACCTTCAGCCTTGCAGGCTGTCAAGATGCAGTTAGCCAAAGCCATGGCTGACCTGATCTAGTGCTGGCAACAGCCCAGCTGGAGGTCACATGAGAACTCCAGAAGGTCCTCACCATGCTCGGCTGCTTCTATGAAGTCATACAGTGATGGAAGACACAGAGGAAACCTCTTAACAGACACCAAGAGCAGGGCAAAGCTCTTCACCTTCCTCCGGGGCAACCAAGCAGGGTCAGGTGTTCTCCAGGAAGCCCCTTTTCTCCTCACCTAGTCTGTGGAGGCCACTCGAAGGAAAGGCACTTGCAGTTAACAGGGTCTGCATAACAGCGCAGAGGAATTCCTATTAAGGGAGTCAGATTTATGCAAGATAAGTTTGTTCAGAAGTAAGCATTCAAAAATCATGAAAATACATGAAAAAAATCAGGAGGTTACTATATAATTTATGAAACTTTTTAATTCTCTCTGTAACCTCTGCATTATGATCCAAGTAATTCAATTTATATCTGAGGCACTTATAGGACAAAACTGTTGTCACTAATGAGATAAAAATAAAACATGGAATATAATAAAACTTTTGATACAATCATGGGATGCACTCTTATTTTTTGTAGCTATGCCATCAGTAAAGAAGAGGTAAGAAGCCATGCAGTGTCCCAGTTCCATTTATCACTTCCAAATTYTTGAATGAGAAACAACACAGTCTTTTCTAAGCAATTGTGAGCTTCCAAGAGGCCATGTATATCAGCCTGGGTTCTCTGCTTGTTTTGGAATAGGGACTAAGCAAGCTCTGTGATCATCTAGATAGACTTTTTAATGTGCAAAAACAGTTAGCAAAACAAGAGCTAGGTAAGGCCCAACTCCTCCCTCATTTCTAGGAAAAAAAAATGCAAGTGGCAATATGGGAATTTGCGATTTCCTATCCAAGAATAAACTGAAYGTGAGGTGATTTAGTCTTACAAAAATATTTTTTTAAGGTTTCAACACATCATCTACTTTGAAGGTAGCTTGCAAATGGTCAAAGAAACGAGAAGTGCATGTGAGGCAGAAGTGAAGCCGCTGCGCGACCCGCTGCGGTGGCTGGAGGGCCAGGCCGGGCCGGGCGCCGCCTTCTCGCTCTCACACCTACCGCCTAATTCCGGCACGTCCATGTTTTGGAGCTTCATAAAACGCTTTCCCCCAGGGAACTGACGCACTTTGTCGCAATAAATCTGGAGCGTTTGTTCCTGCAGAACTTTGCGGCATCTGCTGGGTCACCTTTTAAAATGGATACAGACACTCCATGTCCTTTTTAATGGGGGCTCGTTGAAAACACGCTTTTCAAGCTAAATATATGCATTTTGACACAGTGGCTTTCTTTGGTGAGCAAGTATCCTGTTAAGAAATTCTTGACCGGGAGCTGGCACGCAGCCACCCAATGGTATCTTCTTTAGATACCCAAATGCCTTTAAAAGCTGCATCCTAAATGACCTCGTCGCTATGGTCCCACACGCTGCATCCCCAGCTGGTCCCCAGCACCATTTGGGGGCCCATCCTCACACACACCCTTGCACTCTGCTCCTTACACCCCACTCTTACAGGGAAGGGTGTGCAGGATCTGCCCAGATAAGCGGCATCTCAACAGCCATCTCCACGTATTTAAAAAGATTATCAGTCAACTACAGCTCTTTCCACTGCAGAAACAGTTACTCAGTTAAGATAAACAAAGAAATTCCCATGCACCGAAAAGGAAAACCTATTAACTGATTAAACATGTGAATCAGTTGATAAACAG